ACATTAAAATTCCATTTATTGAGAAGTTAAGAGAAGATTAAATTTAAGGAGTGCTTGCTACCATTCTATTTGGAACCTTGCCTTTCAGTCTGCAGCGTAGAAGTGTAAAGATTCAAATATGCAAAACTGTAATTTATATGGGCGTGAAAATTGGTCTCTCACAGTGAGGGAAAACATAGATTGAGGGTGTTGGAATACTAATTCTGTGAAGCAGAATCCTTCTTGTGAAGCTGACAGTACCTTCAGCTAGTCAAGATATTCCTTGTCTTTTATGGAACCCAAAGATTTGAGAGCAGGGTTTAGAGGAAAATATTTGTAAGTAACATGTGGAGCTTCATAATTTGTACTCTTCACCATATATTATTAGTATGTTAAATCAAGGAAGATGAGGTCAGTGGGGCATGTAGCTTGCATCAGAGAGATGAGATATACATATAGAGTTTTGGCCAGAAAGCGTGAAGGAAAGATACCACTTGGAAGATGTAAGCATATTAATTTTTGATGTGAAGCTTTCATTAATAAAGTCTCACCATCTAACACGGCTAATAGCCCGAGAAGACTTTATTAATATTAATTTTTGTTTGTCAAATTTCAACTCTCTCACACCCCTTTTTTAAGCAGCAAAATCTGACATTTCATTATCTCCACACTTTTTTTTATCTCCACACTTATGCAGAATTTGGTACCATTGTATATTTTCTTGATATGCTACTGAATTTTAACCATAAGCCCTCGTTATCAGTTATGTCAAAAGCTTTTTAAAAATCTGTAAGACGCTGATATGTACAGCATGTTTTGACATTTTAAATATATTTTTTTTTACAATTACAGAAATATTGTGCTTTATTATCTTTTACAAACTAAGCTTGAAACATTGATAATATGTTATTATTTATTAGTCAGTTTCTTAATCTGCCAGCCAGAATTATGGAAAATATCATACCTAAAACTGCAAATGGTGAAATTTTTCTGTAATGACATGGTTCCCTAGTTTTCCCTTCCCTTTGTAAATTGGCTGTAGGTACTGTTACATGTTTTGTGTTGTTTGTTCAAATTGCACAGAGTAGATGCATGATTATAGTTATGCCTTTTCATTTGTGTGTATAGCTTATCTCCAAAACTACACAATCTTTTTTCATGAATTTTTATATTGGGGGGGGGGGGGCTACATTGAAAGTTGTCCAGTGAATTTAATTGTGGTTTGAATAAATTCAGTATAACTATTATTCAGTGTTCTGTCTTCTGACAGGTCCATTGCTCTGCCCAAAAAGAGCTCTCCAATTTTCCCTATTCTCAGCTCGTTTTAATTCCTGGAACTTCATCTTCTTTCCTTGTTTCAGATCGTCGGTTAGCTGTATCAGTCTTCTTCCCAGTCCTCGCTTTCCTTCAACCTGGCCTTCGATGATATCACTCAGTAATCCATTCCTTCTCATAATATGTCCCAGCCAGTTAGCTTTCCTTCGTGTAATCGCCTGCAGAATGCTTCTTTGCTCGTTGACTCTCCTCAATACTTCTTCGTTGGTCACT